AACCATAGTACCAGGCCAATAGATAAGGGAGTCTTCACATGAAATTCACTATGATTAGATAAAAATCAGACTTATTTTTATGGAGAGACAAATTTTTCCATGGTTTCTAAAAATCATAGTGGGCTTCGATTCTTTAAAATGACAACTGTTATTTAGAGAGTCAGAAACTTTTGTGGTGACACAAACAATGCAGTCCAAGATAAAGAGAAAAATCAAAACGAAACAGAAAGATTCTTTGAGTTGATGCTCCTGCAGCCCAAATGTCACCATACCAGCAGGCCACTGTTACCCTGTAGATTAGCCAACACAAGAGAGGTGGCTGTCTCATCCTGTGGCTGCAGGGTTGCTGGCTTTAGCTACAGGAGTCTCCCCACATGAGAAACAGCACACCATGCTGCAAAGCAGTGATTTTGTTGCCAGGGAAGAAACAAGGCCATTTTACAAGATCAAGGAGGAATGTTCAGCAAGTATTTGAAGATAAAGAGCTAGTAAAACAACATAGCCCCAAGGAAAGTGATTGCTATAATATGTAGACAAGAAATAGCAGGAAAAGATAGTAATATGCTTGGTCTCCAACAGCATGGAAGGATTCTACATCAGACAGAGTCAAAGTCTCTGAACTAGGCTTAGTAGTTTAGAGCAGAGATAAAAATTGTTGCTATGAGATAAGCATTGAATTGGAGCTTTACTAGAAGTACAACCATAAACAACATTCCCCCACTCTTTTGAACCCCCACTTACAACCAGCTACCCTAGGACGTGGCAGCAACCAAGCTTTCTCAGGTCCCCCAAAGATGGTCAATGCCCCCCAGGTCAGCAGGAAGCAATTTATCCAACTCGACACCCTTATTCCCTAACTTGCCACACCCAGCTCCCCACCTTTTCAATAATAAGAAGAGGTGAGATTGCTGGAACTCAACCCCATGCTGACCCCATGATGGGCAGGGCATGAACAGTGGCATGGCCACATCATCCTAGGTCACTCAATAAGGGGGCTGTGTAAGGACTCAGCATGCACGCTCGAGCTTCCTCTTTTAAGCCCTCTCCCCTCACTGCCCCCCTCCCTGTCTGTTCCCAGTTGGCCAGCACCTAACCCCCCTTTTCCCTTCCTCTTCCTCTTTGCTCTCTTCTCTTCCTCTTACCCTCTTCATCTCTTCTTGTCTCTGCCCCTCTCACTCTCCCGCTCCCCCACCTGTAATAAACTCTATGGTTAACATATCTCTTATTCTGTGTTCTATCTCTATCACACCATAGTAAACTTAAACAAAATAACATCAAGATGGGCTTAATCTCTCTCTCTTTTTCAATATGTATTATGGTTTTAGTAGAGACAGGAACTTAGTGATAGAAAAGAACATGGGAAAGCATTGAGGTTAGTAGATGAATTATGTGGGATGATTTCAGAGGAAGAGAGACCAATTGAGGAGAGTTCATTGGGACAGTGAAGGCTTTGTGTGTCAAACTTCTAGGCTTAAAGGAGGATAGATATATTTCAGAAGGCAAACATTCTCCACTCAATTTAAAGATTTAGCATTGGCCTGTGGCTTGCATTGGTGTGATGGACACTGGATAATTCTTTTCTTAAATTTCATCTGGATCAAACTCCTAAGTGTGAGAATATGAAGATTTAGGCTAGAACTTTTTAGAAGGCTTTTATCAGTAAGCAGATGCAGGATTTCCTTGTGGTAAGTAATTGTCCACATGTTCTAAACTGAATGCACCTAAAATGAATGCAACCACCCACAAACACACAGATACACACAGATACACACACACACACACACACACACACACAAAAGAAAAAAACACACATGAGAGAGAGAGAGAGAGAGAGAGAGAGAGAGAGAGAGAGAGAGAGGAGACTTAATTCTGTACATTCATTGTCTTAGAGGCTTAAATCTAATTCTTTAACTTGTATCAACTTTTCCTAATTGTACAATTCTCTATATAATAGCTCAAACATACTTAATGTTTGACATCTATTTTTGATTATTCAATTTGGGATGTCAGATTGAAGCAAATTACTGTTTTTGAAGTGAGGGTGAAGGTATATGGCTCAGTGGTAGATTACTTGCCTAGAACACATGAGATCTTGGGTATGATTCTCAGACAGGTCAAAGAAGATAAACAAAATTGTAGCCATCTTTAGTTTTTGCTTGAGGGCAAGATGTTTTGCTTAGTGATAAAAGATACAGTACACAGGAGCAAAGTCATCCATTTAAACTCTAGCATCACAAACACATACACAAAATAAAAGCTTTGTATTTAAGTGTTGTTAACTCTTGGAAAATGACAATAAAACATAGTCTTACAAATTTGTTGATGCTTTACCACACATAGATAGTTAATAAATATGTGTCCATGGTAAAAGTCATGCTTGTCTAAACAAGGGACCTCTGTTATTTTGTTATCTTGACAATCTTTACCTTTCTTCCTCAGCATTCTGAATCCAAATACCACCTGAAGAAGAGGATCAGCTCCCTGACTTTGCCGATAGTTCCATCTTCTGAGGCCAGCAAAGTTCTCAGTAGAATGCCCATCTTACATACAACGCCTGTCACTCCCCCACCACTCTTACCAGCTGTTGGCGGCACCAGTAAAATAGATCAGTATTCTCGAATTCTCTTCCCAGTAGCATTTGCAGGGTTCAACCTTGTGTACTGGATAGTTTACCTTTCCAAAGACACAATGGAAGTGAGCAGTACTGTTGAATAGTTTGCAGCCAGGACAACCTGGGTGCTGCAGTTTCTCATTTTCCTCACTGACAGCAAACAAATTCCTGAGATATGTATAGATATTCTCATTTCAGGTATAAAATAAAAACTGAGTATCTGTAAATTCATAATGTTGAATGAGCATGAATGGGTCAAAAAAATAATGTTATTCTTCAAGATTAAAGCAGAAGGCTACTGAAAATATGACTTTTGTATACAACAAAGTAATTAATAATAATAATGTATGCAGATAAGGTAGATTTGGGGTGAGTTTGCCAACATTTATTTTCATTGTTCAATATTTCCTTTTTTGAGATAGGGTTTCCCTGTAGCTTTGAGACCTGTCCTAGATCTTGCTCTGTAGACAAGGTGGGCCTCAAACTCACAGCTGCCTCTGACTCCAGAGTGCTGGCATTAATGGCGTGTGCCATCACCACCAGGCTTCATTCTTTAATATTTTAAATTGTCACTGTGAATAACATTTTCCACAAGGCAGACAAACTCAGACATGCTAAAGCTTGTCTTAAATTTATTTTGGCTTAGTTTCTAGTCTAAATATTTATTGATATGTTTACTCAGCATGCTGGAGGCCTTTATGATTTTACAAGAGCTTTCAGTGGCATTGCACAGCTTATATGGAGTTAGACGGTTCTTCTTAACCTTGCTGTGTTCTTTTACCTCAATAAAATGTGGCATTATATGCATATAAATAATACATAGTTTATAAATTATGTATGCATATGTACATAGCTTTAGTTATGCTGCAATACTGTTGCTACTTCCCACTGAATTCACCTTTAAAAGAAAATGCTTGCTGTAACACCAGGAAGTTTTAGGAAGGTCACTCTGTGTATGTACTATGACTGTATATTCTGATTATGGTTACCACGCACATGTTCCACTTTCCTAAATGTAATACTAAATAAAACCATAGCAAGCCTGCATCTCTGGCTCTGATTCATAAAGATGGAGAAACAAGTCTTCTTAGGTACTGAGACATGAACTGGCTTCCTCTTCCCCAGTGTTAGTAACACCTGTTCTCAGACACAGGAGGTATGAGACAGCCAGGCTCAGTGAGCAGCTAAGAAGCTGTGATTCATATTCACACAATCACTGCTTCCTTTTGCTTCTCCATAATTAATGATAAAATCTGAATGGGATTTCTGTTCTCTCTTCACCCCAATTCTCGATGATCCCTCTATGTTTCTCTTACATAAAATTACTCTAAAGAAAGATGAATCAGGACTAAGAGAGGTATGACAAGCAGTTTTTTCAGATGGACTGAATCTCAAAACCATCCACCCAACAAAAAATACTTTGGTCCATAATAATCTTGTCTTTTTTTTCATGAAAATAAAACAACTATAGATAAACAATTTCAATTTTAATTTAAATATCGGGCTACCAAAGATAAAAGAGATAAGGTCTCTATTGAACTTATTTATTATTTTATTTCTTAACCAAGTATATGTAAACTCTTGTAGGCTATTTTTCACTTAGAGAATAGAATAGCTGAAGTAGATAATTT